CAGACAGCAAAACATAATAGGAGGCAAAGACCAGGTGTCAGACATTCGTAATCGAGGTCCCCTTGAGCCAATTCTTCTCGCAGGATCCAAGTGCTATCAAAACTTGTCACACTGGATGCGCGTAATATCAAGATGTAAAGGGAGCACCCTCAACATCAGGCATAATCATGTTGTGTTTGGCTCTTGCTGTTGTCAAAAAGCACACCATATGCAGACGTACATAGATCAAAAATGAGCTATAGTCTAAACTCCTAGTATCCCCCTAATAACCCCTGACATACTCCCCGATATAAGCCCCTTTAAGGAGTTTAGACCCTAAACCCTAAGCCATGTATAACCCCTCTTTAAGGAGTTTAGACGATAGCTGAAATGGTGAGAACAAAGACTGCCTGCATCTCACTTTAGAACACTGCAAGATTCATTCTCAAAACCTAAACCCTAAACCCTAAACCCAAACCCTTAAACCCTAAACCCCTAAACCCCTATACCCCTAAACCGTAAACCCCCTAAACCGCACTCAAACCTTGCAGCAAACATCATTTAGAGCTCAGGTGGTGTCCAGGACAGTCGCATCTGAGGCAATAGGATAAGCAATGGAAAAGGAGGGTTGCGACGGTTCCTGGGTTATGGGTATACCTAGTATATCCCCTGATCCTCCAAGTCAAAATTCAAGCTATCCGGCTTGGTGATCCATGTTTCAAGAAACGGCCAAGCAACTTTCCCGCGCTCCACATCTTTGGGAAGGCTGTTGAGGGATCGCAAGCCTGGGGAGGAGATCAGGGTTTAGGAATTAAGGACCAGGATTTAGGACTAAGAGCCCACAAATTACCAACATCAGCTTGAGGTACCCTATACCAGAATTCTAGAAGGATGCAAGGAACCTGGAACCACAGTGCTAGCAATTATTTAGGCTCCCATAGCAGGTTGAAGTTTTAGGATTTAGGGATTCGAATCAAGACCTGCGGCACCGCAGGTCTTTGCAGGATAAATGGAGACCCAAAAATCATCATCTCAGGGGTTTTTCTGACGAAGGCATGAAAAGCCTAGTAGGGTTTCGGGTTTAAGGCAGACCCTGTTTCTGGTTCGCCCAGGGTTCAGGCTTTAGGGTTTAAGGCCTGGGCGATTCTATGGGCGTTGATTGGACATTAAATGTGGACGCCGCGGGAGCTCAAGTCTCTAGCGTTACGCTTAGAGACCTTGGAGTAAGCCAAATTGGACATTGCATGATACCCGGAAAGTGTAGTGACCCCAAGCTACAACCCAATAGGGGAATTCCCACAATGACCGCCCTAGATAGAAGTGCCCCTCAACCTCGCCACCTCCATCATGCAGCTTAACGGCTTAACGGGGTAGTGGCCACAAACCAAGGGGCTCTATAGAGGCATCCAGGCATGTTTAAATTTGGGAGCTCCCCTATGGCGGTTGCCTTGACGTGCCTCTAGAGCACTAAGCCAATGAATTGGGGGCGAGCTAGCTTTCCTCCCCTGAGTTCTGGTCTGAAGGGTCGGCCAGCAGCCCGTCGGAAGGGGGGCATACTCTGGGCCCGAGCTCTAAGCATTTAACCGACCGGCCTGACCTCGGCCCAGGACCAACAAATGGATTCCCCACTAAGCCGTGGTCTTTTGGCTGGATAACATGCGGTTGCTTCGTGGACTCCTATCTTTAAGGTTCCTACGGTTTGGGAGGTTTGGCCCCTCAGGGTATGGTCCTAGAACCCCAAGCCTCTGGGAACGATCAGCCCAGAACCTGAAATGCGGCAGTTTGGGGGGTCTGTTTTCTACATGATCATACGATGATTCTGTTAACGCCAGACCCCAGAATCAAGACTTTCTAGGGTCTTAACTTGGGGTTAGGGTTAGCAAAACCCTGTTCCTACATCAACCACCATTTGGGGGCAGGCCCGGTGAGGTCACCAAAACTTGCGCTGGCCTGCATGCACGTCTATGACCGGAGGAGCTTGTATGCCTGAGACGGGCAGTGATTGGGAGCTTTGATGGGGACCTCCGCTTGCAATTCAGCCATGTGAGCTATAGTCTAAACTCCTAGTATCCCCCTTAATAACCCCTTATAGTAGTCCCCTATGTAATCCACTATTATATACCCCTCTTTAAGGAGTTCAGATTACAGTTCATGTAAAAAGTCACTCCATGGTCCAGGTCCAAGGACTTGGGTTCGCGGTCTCGGGCTCGAATTTTGAAGTTTTCAGTGCATGACACGCGGGCATGCAGAAATCAGCCGGCATACCGTCAACTGTATAGAGCTTAAGGGTCGAGTTCTTCATTTTTCCGATAACCGTCCAACAGTCACTATCTCTCTGAATCTCATTCTTGTAGCAGGACTCTGAACTTCCAGGTATACAGGGCAGCCACATAACAAAGATAGCTACAATATTGACTGCTCTGGTTGTGCCCAAGGTCTGTTGAAACTGGCTCAATCCGGTATGTGGTTCCTGCAGTTAATTGATTTATGACCCACTTACCTAATGGGCAGGCCCGAGTTTACTGGTGAGTGAGAAAACTCTATTGCGAAGCCTGTGTCGAAATAAAGCGAAGCCACACCGAGCGCAAAAACAAAGTAGTTTCGTAAGAAGGCCAGTTGTATTTTTTTGGGAAGCCAGGATAGTTATGATTCTCAATAGGAGAAATAACTAAAGTTTGCACCCAGGCCAGGAAACAACCAAACCCCCGCCATTCAAACCCCCTGCTACTGTGAGAAGATGGCCTCGACGACCAGTACCTACACCCTAAACCCTAAAACCTTCTACCATGAGCCCTACCACTATGGGCTATTAGATCCTAAAATTCCCTATTAGGACCCTATTCAAGGTAGATTAAGCTACCCTTAAGGTCCAATGGCCCATAGTGGTAAGCCATGTGGCTCAAATTAAGGATTTGTGTCTAAGGTTGAGGGGCAGCTAAGAGCTTATAACCACTGCTGTGCTCCGAAGTACTCCCTATTATTTCGAATCCCGATCAGTGCGGGGGTCCCCAATGTAAAGTTTTTTTCGAAAATTAATTCGATGTCGCAATAATTTTTTTGGCCGGAACAAAAACTAGGTAAAGTTCTGATAAAATTCATATCTAATTGATTTTGGAGAAATTTTCTATGATTTCAATTAGACTGTAATTGCTTTTACTAGGTTTGATTCAATGGGAGCCGAAGGATCCCTCTTCCTTTATTGATTTTAATAGGAGCCATAGGATCCCCCAGAGCCCCCAATTCGTTTTGAGGCCTTTGTTGTTACAGGGGCTCCCCTTTTTGTTTGGGGGGGAGGGGGCTCCCACACTAATCAGGATCCAACATTAAGCGCTATCAAGTCCCAAATGGAACATCTTTTGCCCCCGGCACACTACAGGAATATAAATGACGAACGACCAACATCATCTTGAGGTCTGTTTTGAGGTGGCCTCTTCTATAATTCTACAAAGTCTAGAATCATAACATTGGCAATAATCCCTGCGAGCCGCTCTATAAACACAGTTTCCGTCTTATGTTCTTTTCCATTTGGTTCTCCCTAAACCCGAAACAATAAAAATTCTCATTCCATAAGATTTTCTTTTCCATTGGACTTACCATCATTATCTTAAACCTCAGCCCTTAAACCCAAACTCTGACCCCTAAACCCCCTAAACCCTAAACCTGTACCATTATCCAGGCCCCTGTTTTATCATACGCATGATCTGCCCCTGTAGGAACCATCTGAAAGCTGAGCAACCTCTGCCCAGTGCCGCATTTTGAGGTCTGGGGGGAAATTCGTTTCGATGGCCTGGCGTGATGACAGGCCGCATGGTAGGGGTTCGAAGTGTAGGGGCTTAGGGTTTAGTGTTTAGGGTTTAGGTTTAGGGATCACATACTCGAATAATGAGTTTATAGGTCCCAAATACTATGATATGGATGGGTTTTGGGTGCCTGAAAATGCTAACACTTCTTAGGGCTAGAGAATGCTACAGGGCGTTGTCCTTTGGTCATGTACTTTGGTGGTCATGAAAGGTTTTGATGTGCGTATCTATGGGTTCAAGGACACTTGCAGGAAATGTGTAAAGAGCTCTTGGACCATGCAACGTGTGCAGCAAGTGTAGAGGACAAGGCCTTCTTGATACAGCCACTGGGAGAGGGGCATGGTCAGCATGCTGCTCGAATAACAAGTACTTTTAGTTTCAGCACGCCTTCCTTGTGTCCGGAATCGAGGGTTGCTGCATGGGTTGAGGCAGCAGCACAAATCTTAGGCGTTCCGGCCGCTGGAGGGCAAGAAAAAAAGCTCTATAAATCCTCTAATGGAAGCCCGGTATAATATGGTAGTTTCCATTCGCTGTTCCATTATCCCAATAGTACCCCAACGAAACCCCAATATAACCCTGATATTACCCCAATGCTTCTGGGCAACCCAAACTCCAGAGCTCAGGTCCTTAAATGCCTTTCAGGATGCGCTTGAAGGGAGTTGGATCAGGGCTCTTGAGGATGCTAGTCATTTTTTTAATACTGTTTTGGGGATGAACTAGATATGTAGATCAGATGAGGAGCATGCATTTGAAATTGGGGTGGGCCATGATCTCTAACCCGAAGCCCGAAAAACCTCAAGCGTTGAAAACCAAGTCCCCACGTCCCGCCACACCTCGACACCTCCTGTTATCTTTCATGCTACTTGGGGCTTATGCAGGGATTGTCGGGATACTCCACCGGGATAATCCACCGGGTTCGGCGGGTGTTTTTGAGAACTTTTGGCTTTCACTGTATCATTCCCTTTTTGAGAACTTTAGGCTTTCACTGTATCATTCCCTGAAACCTATGCTTGGTATTGAGGCGCCCTTCCGGTCCTGGAAAGCCTCAGCATCAAGTATGAATTCTGAAGTCTAACCCCTAGCCAACCTCCCGAAAGGTTACAGCTATTAGGTTTGAGGTTCTAGAATTGATTTCAGGCCCGGAGGGCTTCACTATCAACCTCCCTGCCCTAAACCTTAGCTTCGGAACCCTGAGTTATGATTCCGATCTCTCTCTTGAGCCTCGAAGGTTTCATCATCAATCTCTATGCTTGTGTAGTCGCGGATGGACTGGAGGATCGACATGATCTCCTTTGGGTCAACAGCCAGTGGGGCGAACATAAAGGCTTAGGGTTTAGGGTTGTGTGTGACCTTAAACCCTAAACCCTAAACCCACAGTAAACCCTAAACCCTAAACCCGCCCTAAACCCTAAACCCTAAACCCACCCTAAACCCTAAACCCTAAACCACCCTAAACCCTAAACCCGAAACCATATGGGTCCCTCCTTGTGGATCCAATCGCAGCAAGCACCCCGCTATTCTTGAGGTACATAAGGCGGGAAGTCCTACTACGGATCATGACGCTGGCGATGACGATGCCGATGACGAGTCTGATGATGATAACTGTGAGGAGCGTAAGTGTCAAGTGCCAGACTTAAAGCACTACCTAAGGTAGACCCATGATTCATAAACCCACTCCTTTAAAGGGCCTGAATATTGTTTAAAGGGCCTGAATATTGGGATCCCCATTATCCCTATTAAGGGGAGGGGGGTTATCAATCAGGTGTCTGGGTTAGTCCAAAGTCAATTTCATTGCTGATTTTTTGGTCCATTTGGTTCTCACCAAGTCCGAAGTGATGTAGTAATTTCAAATTTGTTCCTTATCGTTTCCATTTAACATTTCATTGATGGGGTGAAACTTCTTTGAATACTGAATGATCCCTATACAAGCCCTGTCAAGGAACCTATCATATAGTTCTGTGTAAAACTCTAAACCCAAAGCCCCTAAACCCTAAACTACCCCTAAACCCCAAACCCTAAACTACCCCTAAACCCTAAACCCTGAACTACCCCTAAACCCTAAACTACACATAAACCCCAAACCCTAAACTACCCATAAACCCTCAACCAACCCTAAACCCTAAACCCTAAACTACCCATAAACCCTATACCCTAAGCCTACCCCTCAACCGTTTCGCGCCCTGCTTTTCGAGGCAAGGCTCAGTTTCTACGCCGATGTAAGTCTCTGTTAGCCGCGTCTCGCCAAACGTGCCCATCCTCAGTTCAAGGTTTTATAGGGTTTAGGGCTTAG